TTATTTGGAAAAGAAAATGTCTTGTGCAGGCAACAAAGTGGACACCTTGTTCCAGAACATGTGGGATGGGAATATCTAACAGGGTAACCAACGAAAATAGCAACTGTGAAATGAGAAAAGAGGAAAGACTGTGTTATATTCGGCCTTGTGACAGTAATATATCAAAGATAGTAAAGGTAAAGTTTAATTAGAATTCAGTATTAAGAGACTCTGAAAATGTGTGTGTACATGTTTTGGAGGAGAGGATGGTATAGTTTATGTTATGAAAACAGAACAATTCATTAAAAGCCTTAAAGTCAAAGTTTAGGGGAAAGCAGGTATTAATCTCTTTGTCCTTATGTGCCATTGAGTTGATTCCTACTCATATTTGGTGGGAAAAATTTTACCAAGCAGAGAAGTGATGTTAACCTCCTGATTCCAGACATTAACAGTTTAGAAATGGGCATCTTGATCAGGGTGGTTTGTTGTGGTGACCCACGCTGCATACTCTTCTTTTAGATCCTTTCCAGACTTAATTTTTTTCTGTATTAATTTTATATAATGGGATCAAAGCAATGAGTTAAGATATTTTGCTTGTTATAGCATAATTAATAAAACAGTACATAAGGAACATTAGAATAAAGAAGTACTGATCTCAGTTATCTATCACTAACTTGGAAGGGGACTACACCATTTCCAAAATGCTCCTTGTTTAGATAGTAACCTTGCCAAAGGACTATGATGAAATATTCACTCTAAGATTGCTGGGTGTAATTAGAGTTGATGCTGTATCTAGAAATAGGCCATATGATTGTCTAAATAGAAGATCTCTCTCATTCCCAAGTTCCTTCCCTATCACAATGACAATGACAATTCAAATTTAAGAGATTACAGTATTATTTACATACCCACCTACCCAAAAATGTGTGAGATGTATTAGGGAATTTGCTAAGTCTTAGGAATGAAAACATTTAATAGGACATCGTCCCTGGATTAACTTCTACCTATTGTGGACTTACGAAAACAGGAGATAGCAAAAACAGTAGAGGAGAGGGCCCTGCAATATGATGGAGCAAGAAGAGGGAGGACGGACTGGTGCTAAGAAGGAATTTTAACAGTAGAAAAGGGAGAGAGTGCTGGAAGTCACTAAGTGGCAACTATTATTAACATACTTGAAATAATTATAGTTGTGTGTGTGAGAATGTTCTATAATGTCACTTTCTGAACTCTTAAAATCAAATTTTAAGATTGACTTCTTAATTTTTTGTGTCATTTTAGATTCCCAAAGGAAAAACATGCCAACCTACTTTCCAACTCTCCAAAGCGGAAAACTTTGTCCTTTCTGGATGCTCAAGCACCCAGAGCTATAAACCCACCTTCTGTGGAATATGCTTGGATAAAAGATGCTGCATCCCTAATAAGTCTAAAATGATTACCATTCAATTTGATTGCCCAAATGAAGGGTCTTTTAGATGGAAGATGCTGTGGATTACATCCTGCGTATGTCAGAGAAATTGTAGAGATCCAGGAGATATATTTTCTGAGCTCAAGATTCTCTAAAATTAAGCACACAGTGGAAAAGTAGGGTTAGGGAATCATGTCATCACACCAAAGAATCTGTGTGGTTATATACGGGTGGGAAATCAATTTTATTGGTTAAAAAATAGAATACCCTAAGGAGTAAGAATGCCTAGCTATTCTAAGATCACTGCATTTAAGGCATTAGAACTGATTTTTAAAAGGTTCTCTTAAAAATATATATGAAATTAAAATTTAAATTGAACATTTATTTCTAAAGTATGTCCTATAATTATATAACTAGAAAGATATTTGATTTCAATTATGAAGTCTACATACATTAGAAAAATTATAATTTATAAGAAGACATCTTATTCTATACAAACTATGGAATCTGCTTTTCTATGTTTAACATGTGTAAAAAGCACATCAAATTTTTAAAACTTCACTGGTACTTTGACATTGTAGTCTACGCTCCCATCAGATATAGACTCCTAATCATTACAGGGTGAGCAAGATTCTGGATTAATTCTTGAAGAGAAAAAGATTAAAATGTAAATATATTCATAATTTCCATTGCCTTATCTACATAAAATATGTACATAAAGAGGAAGTGAAAGTTCCCTGGCCACTGTTAACAACTGTCATCTATGGTTTTACACCAAACACTGAAAAACAAAACAAAACAAAAATTTCCTTAGTAGAAACTAAGAACAATATCATTACTTTGCAAAGGTAATAAACTTCAAAAACAGAACATTAAAGGAAAAACAGAAGATTGTTTAGGCTTGAAAATAAATTGTACCTAAAAAGTAGTTCATTAAATGATAAATCAATCTATGAATTTTAAATAAGTTATGATTTAAAATAAGCTCTGTTAAAGATAAAACTGAAGGTTATAGTAACTGGAACAATTTCACAATTATAGCTACTAACTGCCAAGGATGGAAGAATATGTAAAGCTTAGTAATGTTCTGTTCACTTGTATAAATGGTGACATGCAAAATAATGATAACAAGTAGCAATGCTGAAAATTATGGACATTTATTATTATACAATCAAGTGGTTTGATAAGAAAAGCAATTATATTTTTAAATAATTTAATAAAAAATATGTAAAAATAAAGACAAACATTGTGATTCTTTTTAGTGCAAACAAGTCACAACCAAAAATAAAACCTCCTTCATAGTTACAACAAAACCTACCCCTGAGAAGTTAAGTGAATATTATATAGAAATCAAGAGAATTCAAACTTAAGATCAAAATATAAATCGTAAATAAATACAAAAATATATCTGTACAAGACTTTTATTAAAGACATGATTATCACTGTATATATGCCTTACTAGGAGACTGTTAATAAAGTAAAATGTTGAAGAACTCTCTTCTTCTCAATTTTAGATGAGTAGTTTTCTGAAATACTCTTACCTCGTATTTTTCTGAAAGTGCTTAAAGTTAAGATACTAGGACTTCACTAATTTCACCAGTGGTTTCATCAACTACAAACTGTGATTAAATAGGAACTTTCGGAAAAAGTAACAAGAACAACAAAAAACCTTCCTGGTGATATGAGAAACACAAACCGGGCGTTCTCAATCACAAAAATTCTGAACCAGAAAGGTAAAGTAACTAAAAACTGTGAAATTATTTAAAAATGAAAGCTGCATTTTTCCCCCCTACACAGCTACTCTTAGTCTAGGTAAATCTTCTACAGGCATGCTTTTTGTGGCATCCAGCTGGTTATATTCTTGTATGAGTGCTGATAAAGATGACACAGCTTCAGTAAAACAGCTTTCCTCCATTCCTTCGACTTGTAGATAGTGATGAAGGTGAGCCTATAAATAAAACATTGGGTAAAGTTTACCGTTTTAGGAAACTTAATACACATAGCAATCCTGTAAGATGAACACATCTTAACTAGCCAAAATAAACACACATAGTTACAAAGGCGAACTGATAATTACCTTTTTCTTGTACAGCCTCCTGAATCGCTCTCTCAGTTCCATAAAGGTAGGTTTCACGCATGTGTTATTTGCTAAAGCTAATAATGAATGAGAATGGCCCACAGGAGGTACTGAACACAGGCTGGTCTTCCAGCCTTCTTGATTCCAGGAGACAAACTGTAGAGAAGGTTTTAATCTAAGACAGGAAAATTCAAAGGTAAGAATTAGGGTACTAAAAATGTCTGTCCATATTAGTTAAACTAGGACATTACTGATGATATAATTCTAAGTGCTTAATTTATAATGTATATGATCTATTTCTTACTATTAAAAACAAAACCAAAAGAACCCCTGACATCAAGTCGATTCCTACTCATAGCAACCTCCACTGGGTTTCCAAGGCTATAAATCTTTACGGAGGTAGATTGCTTCATCTTTTTCCTACAGACCAACTGGAAGGTTTGAACCGCTAACCTTCTGGTTAGCAGCCAAATGCCTTACTCACTACTCTACCAGAACTCCCTATTTCTTACTATTCTTTATATTTCTTACTATCAGCAGCATCAAAATTAGTTCAGGTTAACAGTCTCACAGTGAGCTAAGGAATATTTAGTAGGAAGACATTAAAATGGCTGTGATGTTGATTCAAAAAGTTAGAAACACATTCTTTAACATAAATCTGGAGATTAAAAAAAAAATGAACTTACTATAAGTTTCCTTATTTTGCAATTCAATAGACACAAATCGTAAATTTAGAAGGTATAGTAACTCTGGTGGCATAGTGCCTAAGGCATTTGACTGCTAACCAGAAGGCTGGCGGTTCAAACCCACCAGCCACTCCTCGGAAGGACGGTTGGAAAATCTACTTCCATAAAGATTTACCACCTCAGAAACCTAATGGGGGTCTCTATGAGTCAGAATCAACTCAATGGCAGTGAAAGTGGTTTTTGGTTTAGTAACAGTAGTACTAGTTGGAATAATACAGGTAATAACAAAAATCAGCTCAAGTAACAAAGTTAGCTAAAACTTTGAACAAATTCAGAAATTAAGACTTCCCAAATATCATTTAATATCCATAAACAACGACTTTGTACTATTATCTATATATTTGAGGAAAATAAGCCAGAGGCTAACTTTCTCAAGGTCACACTTTAGTGACATTGTTAGAATCTGAAGACAGACAGTTTTAACTACTCTGTTACACTGTCCCAAATAGTGCACATAATGAATTATCTTGAAAAACAGAAAACTAAACCTTTCAATATTTCTGCGAAGATCCGAAATCTGTACATTTCCTCTAACCATTAAGGCACATGCGAGGTAGAGACTATGTTTGGGGTCAGCTCGAATTAGCTGGTAATCTTTGCTAAAAGCATCTGAAAACATCTGATCCAACCTAGAGAAATGAAAGTCTTATTTAAACAACATAATAGTTTTTATATAACTATAAAATAAAATGACAATCATCTATACACAAATAAACTACACACAAATATATACCCAAACTCACCTATCATTTTTTCAAAGTAATCCTGATGACAAGCATGAGAAGAAATCATGCCGTGTCTATCCTTTTACTTTTGGGGTGGGGGGTGGAAATGCTTCTGCAATACGTTGGTGATTTCTGGTAACTACAAAATCCTAACTTCGGCATTAATGAGCTCTATGTAGTATGTAGTACGCAGATTTCAGAAACTTATCATTATTTAATTCAGTATGCTCATCTACTTTATACCAGAACTACCAAAACTAATTAAAAGCCTATGCTATTAAGGTTACTTTGTCTCTATAACATACATTACATCATAGCCATTAGTAGGAAGCTATGGAACAATAACGTTTGGTTCTCTTATAATAGATAAAACTCTGCATAGTACTCCTGCAGAGGGAGTCTTGTTAAGATTCTATTTTATCCTTCAGTTAAAGGCAGGAAGGTAAACGTGACTAAAAAAATTTGTATCTAATAATACATAGCTGCTAGATCCTTAATATGGCCATATTCTGGTTTTTAAATTCTGTTTAACTCAGTATAAACAAACTGACCTATGCCTGCCTTTAATAATTCTAGGCAGAGGTATGTGAGCTGAATTTGCAGAATGTCTGGAGAGAGGTGTGTAAACTATGCTGCCTTTTCACTCAACAGTTGCTTACTAAATGGCTAGCTACTGTGTGCTAGGTTCTATTCTAAGTGCAAGGGGTCCTGCAGGCCTGCCCTGATAGACTTCACACAGGAGCTCTGGTGGCATAGTGCCTAAGGCGTTTGATTGCTAACCAGAAGGCTGGTGGTTCAAACCCCCCAGCCTCACCTCGGAAGGAAGATTGGGCAATCTACCTACCTCTGTAGAGATACCACCTTGGAAACCCAAGGAGGGGTCGCTGTGAGTCAGAAATGACAGCAGTGAGTTTCTTTCTTTTTTTATTAATAGAGCGTACATTATATCCCAATTATCTAAAAGTAAAAGGGATAGAGGACTCCTTAGGGGACAGATGGACTTTGGAGAATTCAAGCATCCCATTACTGTGTTCAAAGTTTGGAGTGGATGTGCTTTGGGGCATTTTTATGGAGTTGACGTACCGATGTTTCATCAGAGGAGGACACCCAGAAAAGGTCAAGGACTACAATATAACAAGTAGGCAAACCCACTTTTGATTTTTCTCCTCATCTCATAAATTATAAAAATGAGGAACTATTTATAATTACTGGAATACTTATCTTTATTTACATTAGAAATGTAATTTCAAGAAACACACACTCTCTTCTGAGCTTATTTTCTTTTGCTAAAAATGGATTAGGTACATAAATTAACATAATCCAAAGTCAAAACAATTCTCACTTGTTTGGAAACTACTTACAAGAAATTAAAACAATTTTGAAACTATGCCTTTTAGTAGCATAATTTAAAAAAATGTCCTATTTGGTCAAGAATAAAAGTGTCCATATGAACATTTAATCAATGATTACATATTCCATTCACTGTGCAAGCTATTGTTCAGCCAAAACACTATGATTAGGTAGTTTTCATCCCTTCTAGTATAGATGAGGAGCTCTGGTGCCGCATTTGACTACTAACCAGAAGGCTGGCAGTTCAAACCCACCAGACACTCCTCGGAAGGAAGACTGGGCAATCTACTTCCGTAGTGATACTACCTCGGATACCTAAGGAGTGGTTGCTATGAATCAGATCTGACTTGACGGCACTGAGTGTTTTTTTTGTGGTTTAGGTACAATAGAGAGGAGTGCCTAAAAGTCATCTATGGTGCTGGGGCTGTGCTAAGAGTTTTAAAACATATTATTTAATTTACAAAATAAGCATGTGAGGCAGGTACTCTGAATACCATTTTTAGAAATGAGAATATAAAGGTGAGAGCTTTCAGTGACCTGTCCAAGGCCCAGTAGCTAGTAAGTAACAGAACTGATTCAGACTCAAGTCAGTCTGACTTCAAAGACCTTAATTTTTTTCACTAAAAATTACATCTATTAAATTTCATAAGCCAAAAAACTTAATCACTAGATTTACCTACAAATAGTTTAATACTGGCATTTTTAAACAGTGATTTCTTATTTGGAATAGTGTTCATCTAATGCAAAAATAGCTGTCATCAACTACATTTTTTATTCCCCTCTCATAAATTAAATGTATAAAAATAAGATGTATGAAGAAGTAACTAGAGTTATCATAAACTTTTTTCCTCTCAAATTTTTTTTTTTAAGTAATTCATGTTCTACAGAAATTGGAACACAGCGACTATACCTTACCTTCGAGGGGGAACATTAACATCTGCCAGTGTATACAGCGGCGTGAGGCTTGACACAAGATAATGAAGTTGGGGAAAAGGAACTAAATTCATGCTGATTTCATTAAGGTCCATATTAAGAGATCCTTCAAACCTTGCAGAGCTAAAAAATTAACATTAAAACAATAAGAAAGATTATAATTTTAAAATGATACACTTTGGATATAGCTTGATTTATTCAGCAGGCATTTTCTCAAATCCTTTTTTGTACACTGTTCTTTAGTGCAGAATACATGGATTTTTTTTGGCAGGGGCTGTATTAGTGAAACTCAGTATCATGAACAATCATGTATGGAGATATTTAAAATATATAAACATGTAACTATATTGTTGTTTCTGTGTGCTGTCAAATCAATTCTGACTCACAGTGACCCTGTAAGTCAGAGTAGAACTACCCCATAGGGTTTTTTAGGGTGCAGTCTCTATGGGAGCAGATTGCCAGGTTTCTTCTCCCTTGGAGTGGCTCGACAGCACATAACAACAACAACAAACCCGCCAAAAACCAAAACCATTGCTGTCAAGTCAATTTTGACTCATAGCAACCCTATAGCACAGAGGAGAACTCTTCATAGAATCTCCACGGCTGTAAATCTTTACAGAAGAAGACTGCCATATTTTTCTCCTGTGCAGCAGCTGGTGAATTCCAACACTTAACCACTGTACCACCAGTGCTCCTTTACAATACTATAGCAATACTTATTTTTGGATTATCTGAAATGTAACCAATGTACTATTATAGTTGATAAAAATACCTTATTTAGGGAGGCGGGGCAAGATGGAGGACTAGGCAGAAGGATTGCACAGACCCTCTTCAACAAAGAAAAGGGAAACCAATAAATACAGACACAGAAGATAATCTTGGACCCCTGAGCCTTGAAGGAAAGGATTTGGACTAAACCCCAACTAGCAGAAGAATTTGCGTGAAAATACCAAAAAA